GTCTTCATCAGTCTGAGGACTGATGAACCACCATTCACTGTTGCTCCACCGCAGCTAACAGAAGGCCTGAGCAGAGGCTTCAAACAAAGTCTTTAACACGCGAACGAGTTATCATGTTTAAGCTGTGTATGTGTTCAGGAGGTAGTCTGAAGCATCTTACTTCTAAATGAGTTTCTGTTAGTATACAGAACAGCTGATACTAGGTAGTTTGTTCATGTATCAAAGCCTTTAACTGCTACTGAGCAGGCAAGAATTGGCCTAGACCGCTGGAATGAAATACCAAGATAAAGGCCATCCAGCTTTGCTTTTAAGCTATGAAAGTTTTCTGAATTCAGAGAAAACCAAATAGCAAGTTTTTATTGCATACTTTTGGAGAATACAACATATCCTATGCCTTGTGCTAACAGGAGTTATTGTATTCATGCCGAGGTGCGGGGACATCCCTTTGTCTTCAGAAAAATACAGTGCATATTTGCAACAAAATTATTTGTAAAATTATGGCAGGATCACAGGCAGCTCAGATCTGTATTACCAAGCAATACAATCTCTCACTTACTTTATTAATCCATTATTACCCATTTAATGAAATATTTAGTTTCACTTGTATCTTGTCCCATCACCAGTTTTTAAAGAAATGTGCTGTTAAGGTTAAAAACACTAAAATATTATTGCAACAATTACATGAAAGAATTTTGCCCTTTTACTTTTCAAACAGAGAAGCACATAAAAGGTGATTTTACCGACAATAACTTAGTAATTTCCAGTCCTCCGCAAGACACATTTGCTTATCAGGTAAAAGCTGAGATTGCATTTTTAATTAAAAATCACAACAAAGGCTCTTAAAACATTTTAAAATAATACTACTTTAGGAGATCCATTCTTGTAATCATACTAAAATAAACTGCATTGCACTTCCAGAATTAATTAGTGAACCTGTCCTCCAGGTGTAATTGCTAATTGTTCAGTTCACAAAGACTAATCTGCATCAAACCAAGACCCTCTACAGAGCTTATAATGCCTACTGGTAAAAGGCATCTCTTCTCTCTCTCTCTCTCCAAAATCTGTGGTATAGTAGAAGCTTCAGGTCTTGAAATCCTCTATTGCACACAAAGATTTAACCTGAGAAACAGATCACCAGTGGTACTCTAGATGCTTGAAAGTGCCCTGTGGGATAACAACTGAGGATGCAACTATGTGTGTGATCATTTGGAACTGGTGGGGGGGGTTAAGGAAGGTATTAAGCAGCATACCAGCCTCTAAAACCATGAAACAGAAAAGGCAGAACTAACATGTGAGGAACTCTTGTGAACAAACAGATGAGAAGAGGCAGCTGTATGCTGGGGGCAATGGCTGCTGTATAACCTTGCTGGGGTTTTCAATGAGCAGCCAGCAGCTCTCCGTTCACAACCATGCCTGCTGTGGTTACTTGGACAGGAAACAGGTAATGCACTCAGTAATATCTGAGTAGGAGGAGTAGTATAAAGAAGGGTGGGATGGGAAGGCAGCTGGTTCACTACTTTATTTGGTTAAAGACTATTCAGTATAAAATAAACAACAAAACCCAAGGAAAGTGGTAGATTACACAAAAATAAACATTAATGAGCAGGTGATAACAGGGAGAATAAGTTGTCTTTGGTCACTACAGGAACTAATGCCATTAAAGGAACTACACACAGCCTTGAACAGGTTCAATATGAATTTTGTCATTGATAAGAAAGGGGAAATGTGTGATTATCATATGTATAATGGTATTTCTGAGGGTGTTTGTGGATGGGATAGCAAAAGGCATTTGTGGGATTTTGTATCATTTGTAGGAAATTTAGAAGAGGGGACAAAGGCAGAGAAAGGGAAGGATGGGGGGAAAAAACATCAGATAATGGAGGCAGGGAGTGGGGGGAATCAAAAATGAGTAAGTTGCATTTAAACAGACTGCTGGTGGGTATGCTTCTCTGATCACACCCTGCACTTGGATCACATCATTTCCTTCTTACTAAATCCTTTTCTTAACTACTTTTTTGTATAATTCACCCTCTGTCCTATGTGTGATACTGCTGCAAGGTCTAAGTGCCAGCAACTGCAAAAATACTGCAACTCCCACGGCCTGCAGGTCCAGGAACTAGCAACTGGAGGAATCATGGTGTATCTATTGTTTTCCTAGTGAACTTAACGCTGTATGCATGTGTGCACATGTGTAATTTGCTAGCAAGGTACAAATTGGAGTAGCCAGTGAGTAGAAGGAGACCTGTATCTATAAAGATGCAAGGTCTGAGTCAGGGGATAGGCGAGGGGCCTGGGGTCTAGCCATGGACAGAGATGATGCCCAGCAAGGAAGTCCAGCTAATGAACTAGGAGATTCTGCTAGTATTTGAGGGATCTATGACTGTGGGATATGTGAGACAAGCTCTCATAGCATCCTTAACAGAACTTCAGAGTTGAGCAAAAGAAGTAGTGGTTCTACTATCAAGAACGAAACAATTCTCACTAAAGTATCCTCTAGGTAGCAATGAAAAAAGGTAGACATGTACAAGACCAACCAAACTTTAGTTTTTCACACTAAATGGAATATTCTTAAAAATGAGACACAAGACATGGCAGGAATAAGAATAACATGCTGTGCTCTGGCATGGTACACCCCAGTAGCATGCATTCCAAAGCACATAAAGACCTTGAGTAGAAAACTGTAACTGTCAGACTGATGATGAAACAATCAAAGACACAATTCCAGAAAAAAACTAATTTTAAAATCCATTGGCAGATGCTGTAGGAAGTGTTGATATGTAGCATAATTAATGTAGTCTGAACAAATTGTACTGTGGACAGTGATATGTTTATTAAAAGCCACTTGGTGAAGGCTGCTGGAGGGAACTAACTAGAAAGCCACACAGTCCTGGATTAGAATATAAAAGCACAGGTTTTCCTGTAAATAGGTAACAGCAAGACAGGAAAAAATATGTTATTTAATTTTCCTATATTCTGCCTCCACCCTTTCAGGTGTACCTAGAAGTACAAGATGCTGCCAGAAGGAACAGCTTTGTAGAACCGAAACCTCTGAATGAATAAGGATTTTGTTCAGAGCAGGGAAACGATAAATATTATGGGTAAGGTACTTCTTTGCCCACAGATAATGTGATTTATACTCTAAGATCTGTTGACCCGAAGAGGCTCTGCTCCAAATCAATAATTCTGAAAAGGCTATTTCAGCTATAGCGTAGTCTTGTCTTTGTCCAAGGGAAGACTGTTTATGCTGAAGTCTGTCATGGTTAACATGACAGACAGCAGTTACAAGGCTGGGGTAGAATTTTATGACTCCCAGCCAGCATGTTGGCAGATCTGTCTTCTGGAGACAGGGAGAGCCTGGATGTAAATGGAAGTTTATAGGCTGATTTGAAAGTTAATTTAGCCTGGCACCTATTATTTTGATTTTCAATAGTGACTTTTAGTCACTTCATCACCTAGAGACTCCAAACAATTTGTCACGGGATGTAAAGTGAGCTGCGGAGCAAAACCACTTAAAGTTCACTAATCCCTTCAATAAGCCTTCGGGTTCAGTAACAGGAAAACAGCATAGGCGTATGAATTCCCATGGAACAAACTTTTTTTTTGGACTGGTACCAATATCTTTACAAGAGTTACCTGGAAAAACCTCAGGGTAATCTCATCACCTCTAATGGTTTCACACAGAAGACTTGCACAGACAAAAGCTCATGTCCTTTTCAACAGTTAGAACAGCATAGCTTTGCCTCGGGGTGCAATTACACCAGTCTAGAAGGGCTCTAGAAGAGTCTGGCTTTTCATGGTACAAGAGGCTCATGCCAAATCACTGCAACACAGAAATAAAGTAAGAATACTGCTTTAACTATTAGCATAAATATAGAGATACTACTCTATATTTAGCATGGAATAAATGCACACTAAAGGTTTGAAACTGCCTGCGTGCACATGACTTCTTTTTGTTGTGTCCTTCACACTACTAGTGACTTAAAAATGCAACATAACTTGACAGTAGGGGTTAAAAGCCAACCTGAACTGAAAAAAAAAAACCCAAAACCAAGCCATTTTCTTCTCTTAAATATAAAAACATTAAACTCTATTTTTTCGTTCAGCTCAAACCGAATCATCCCATAAGATCTCCATCTACCACTTCAGAGTCACGATTTGATTGGAGAACACTTTTTAAAAATCAGACATAGTCATCTTAGAGACAACTTGTACCTAGTAAGACCTGCAGAGCAGCATCCTATCACTGCAGTTTTCCCCCTTTTTTCTGCCTGTGCCTTCCCACAGGACCAGAAGATGTAACCCAGGCTCTTCCTCCTGCCTCGTAACACCCAGGTTTCTCTCACAAGGACCAGTTCAGCCTGAGGATTTGTTGCAATTTCTGTATTATGAGCTCTAGCTAAGCTGCTTCTAGAAGGCCACAGACATACAGGCTTCTCAACTGGGATGCAAACCCTGCTGTTCTTGCTGCTTACGATGACTGGCTTATCCCTGCAGCCATCCCCCACAGTCCATTTGTGCTCCTCGCTGTGCACCACCTGCTTTGCTTTATCTCTGTGTATGTTTGTGCTGACAAACGGATTTATGTGAGAAGTCAAAAAGCCCCCCAGAGCATCAGTTCCACGTCCCACCGCCCTGGCACACTGCCGGCACCAACTCCATCTCCAGCTCGACTCTCTGTTGGAAACTCTCCCTGTCCCCACAGCTCCGCGTGCCAAACGCGGGGCTGTGCTACGGGAAGGACTGGCACTAGCAGGACCAGAAGAAGGAGTCACGTCCCTGTAACCAGCGGGCGCACCCCGGAATCCCGCTCCGACGGGCGACCAGGCGAGCCCGCACCGCGCCGGGCCCCGGCGCTCCCGGCTGCCCCGCACGTGTCCGCCGCTCCGCATCCCCGGGCGCGCGGCGTCAGCCCCCTCCCACCCTCCGAGCCGGGACCGCGGAGCCGCGGAGAGGTCGGGGGAGCGGAGCGGGCCGCCTCACGCCTCCCGCAGCGCACTCACCTCCCCGCGCCGGCCCCGCGCCCCCCCGGCACGCTGCCATTCCGCCGCCGCACCGCCCCGCCCGTCCGGGCGTGAGGCGGCCCCGGGAGCCGCGCTCCGCCCCGCTCCGCCCCGCCGGGGAGCGCGGGGCCAGACGGGGCTCGTAGTCTCTCCTTCGGCCGCGGGCGGCGAGGGGCGCGGCCGTGCCGAGGCACTACGTTCCCCGGCGTGCAGCGGGACGGGGAATATAAGTGGCTGGCGGCGAGCGCGCCTCAGTCAGTCCGCCCGCCCGAACAATGCTTTCGCCGCTGGGGCCGGGTAGCCGCGGCTGAGCGCGGCGGGAGCAGCCGGGAGCGGACGCGCTTACCGGCCACCGCCGCTCCCAGCGAAGGGGCTGGCGGGGGGACGGTCGCTCGCACGCCGCGAGCATGTGGATACCCACGGAGCACGAGAAGTACGGCGTGGGTGAGTGAGAGAGAGGGCGAGCGGGGCAGCGCGGGGGCGAGGAGCAGCGCTGCCGGCGGGGAGCGCATCCCGGGCGGAGCGGGCTCGCCCCGCGGGGGGCTGCTGCCGTCCCCCGCGGGAGCGAGGGCAGCGCCCCGTGCCTGTGAGTGGCTGCGATGGGGGTCGGAGGTCCCGTCGCTGGGCGGGGGGAGCGACCCCTTCCCCGGGGGCGCAACAAAGGACGGCCAATGCCCGAGTCGCGGCTCCGGCGTCTCCCGCCGCTGCCAGGGGATGGGGCAGGGGCCGGTTCCTCGTCTCCGAGGCGGGCGCTCGGCTGTCTCCGCCGGTGCTGGGTGGAAAGGCTGGCGTTCCACAGGAAACAAAGCAGCCTTAAAACGTATCGTTGGGAGCGGCGACCCGACTGGAGACGGTGTCCGGTGGCGGCCCGGGGAGGAACAGGAGCGGGGCCGCGGGCATTGTTCGCGCGTCGGGGGTTTTGTCGCTGCTTCAGTGGAAATCAGACAAAGTGTCGCTTATGGGAGTCGCGCTTCCTCGCCTGGTTGTTCCCCTCTGCCCGGTGCAGGGCTCTGAAGCCCGCGGGTTTGACTTGGGAAGTGATCGGAGAGACTTACGGTGATTTTATTTTTCTTGGCACCTCCTATTAAAGCCGGCAACACCCGATGAGCGCTGGCGGCTCGTCCCGGACAATAGCCCCCTCTGACACGGGTGTAGCTGAACTGTTGTACAGACCTGCCAGCCTAGTAGGCAGCTCTCCGTGTGGTTACGTCGCGTTTGAACGCGGAGTTGTTCATATTGGAGAAAAGCGGGAGGAGCGCGGAGCCCTCCTTTGTGTGTGTGTGTGTGTGTGTGTGTGTGTGTGTGTAGCAGCGCTGCGTCCAGCCTTCAGCGCGGGGCCGCTTCGTCCCATCTGGAGCTGAGACCAGATGTAGCTGTCCTCCGAACGCTAAATTATAGGGATCATCTATGTATGATGATCCTTATTTTCTTGAATTCTTTATTTGCCAGGTCACAGATGGGTTGCAAGATATTGATTAGTCCTGCCACCCGCCTTTCTTTACGAGGATGGGCAAGAAGCTTAAAAACCACTCCGGGACTCCCTGAGAATGGCATGCTGGATCTTAGCAGTCAAGTATTTCAAGCTGCAGCCCTCCTCTCCATCTATTTGTTGTTCATTTTTATTTTTGAGCATAGTATGCTATTTCACAACTGAAGCATTTCCCCCTTTGATTTATTAGCTAAAAATCAGTATGGAGCATCTTTCCTAATACTGAAAACAAGGAGCCAAAAACTGTTCCCCCTATTTGAATAACTACTTCCTCCTTGCTAAATAATTAAATGATGTCCCCTAAAGAAGCTTTTCTATGTTTAGTAACTGTTTTCAGGTAATTACAGGTGAATCACTCTCCAGCTCTGCCTTATCTTACCAGGGCTGGTGTCATTGAAATCTTGCTCCTGATAAAGAGATACAGTTGCAATTTCTCAATAGTGAGGTTCCTTTGGCTCAACCAGAAAACATAGTCCACCACAGAGATCCTCTTTGTGTAAATATAATATAGTCACAAAAAATATGCTTATTCTTATTTAAATTCATTCCATGATTTTCTGTGATTTGGCTTCCAAAGGCTATTCAAGATGGTAACAAAAAGCCTCTATTCAGTTTGGGTCCTCTGTACTCCTAGGATGGGAGTGATATTTTAGTTCATATGATCACTGCAAAATATTGAAATACTAACCTCAAGTAATTTAATTTTTTTCTTGGACAGCTTTTTATGCTGTGTTTTTATGCTCACTCACCTGCATGATGAGTGCTGTCTGCAAAATCTTCACACCCAATTACCGTGTAAGCTATTGTACTGTATAGCGGTGATCAGGGAGGCAGGAGAAAAGGTCGTATCTTGCTATATACCTATTTAAACTTTACGTGAAGTGACTCATAAATCAAACTTGCGTTTTGCACCACAGACCAGCTTATGGATATTCTTTTTTACTGATGGGATTATTATGTTTCTAAACAACTATTTTAATACTGATGTGTAAAATGGTTGCATTAGAAAACCCCTTTGAGAGTCCCGATTAGTTGTACTGAGCATACGTATCCTTTGTATAAAGAGCTCAGGGCTTGCATCAAAATCAGACCTCATCTGCATTTTTAGTCTGAATTTTGCAGCACATGCTGTGTACCACACATTTCTCCTGTGACATGCCAAAGTGGATGAATAACCAGTCAACAGCCACCTGGTTACACTGAAGGGTTACTGGTAACCAGGTGGCTGTTGCTGACTTGGAATCAGTCAGTCTGTGCCACTTCGAGGGATAATGAGTTACAATCTTGTCTTCTTCAAATTTTTAAACTTCTGCCTGCTAGTCACTGGTAATATCTAGCTGATTTTTACTGAGCAGGTTGCTTAACTCTGAGGTCATTTACTAGTGGGCAGATACACTGCTAGTTCATTTCGTGGTAGACATTCATGCTGCTATAAGGAGAACATTATTACACTTACATGACACCTTTTATACTACAGTAGTATGTGTTATGTAGTACAGTTATGTGTTTTTGTTTCTAAGGCTATAGCTTTTGTCAGTTATGTTGTATTATCCCTCAGGATGCTAAAGGTGAAATAAGCACTGGAATATTTTTGGTTCTGAGAAAGTTTGCTTTGTCTGGGTTTTGATATTTGTATTTTCAGAACAGAAGGTTAAACTTCTATATTTCACTTTGAAATTCCATGTTTTGAATCATACCTTCAGCTGTTGTATCAAACTAGTGATGGCATTGCGTAAAGGATCCAATGGTCACTTATGTGGAGTACTTAGCATGAAGTATGCTGATGAAAGGGTAGGAGAGGTAAGATTATTTTTTGCTGTTAATGGTATTTAAATCTCATAGATGTCAAATGGAGTTGACTTACATAAATGCTGTATGCTGATCTACGTGATTAAGAACCTAAGAGAATCACAGATTCATTCAGGTTGGAAAAAACCTCCAAAATGAGTCATTTAAGACTGCATAGCTTGGGATGCTCTCCAGGCAGCAAACTGATAAGTGTAGAAGTGACTATTACTGGTTGGTGCAAAGTGGTAACTTTTATCTGTAACAAATAAATCACAGGACTACATAATACTGCTTTGACTCTATATTCAGGCAATCTCTTTTTCTTTTTGTCTCACCAGTTCTTCATACTACCATATAACCTGATTTCTTTGATTTACCTGAATCTGTATGGATGCAGTTATGTTTTCTGGGATGTGGGTGATTCACCCTTTTTTCCTGAGCACAAAGCATTTCTCTGGAAGGCATTTTTTGGATTAGGGTGCAAAGATAAATTAAGGAGATGAATTAAAAAGCAGTTGCTGAGTGCATCATCTAATTGATAAGCAGAATGGTATTCCAGATGCTGAAGTCATTCTGTACAGCAAAATACACTGGTTTAACTCAGACAAGTTTAAATAGTGCTTGATATTTTTAGTGTGGTTAACACACATAAATGTGCCTAAGGGGGGCATGAAGTTTGGCTGTCTCCTAGTTTATAGATGGAGAAATGTGAGGATCAAATGAATTTGTACTGTAAGCTGAGGTTTATAGGAAGAAAAAGACGAGGGTGTATTAGTTGATCACAAGAGCAGTATTGACTTGCACATAGACAGAAGCCGAATCAATTGGGGGTTGTGTCCTGTTCTGAGTTGCAGCCAGACTACTCTTTCTAGCAGTTCTGTTGAAAGATAGCTAACATATCCTTATCTTCATGCTGCAATACTTTTTTTCATTGCAAACTAATTTTACTGTAAATGAACTTGGTTTGTTTAGCTCAACAGTATCTCTCTGTCAATAACACGCTAGACTTCTAATATAATGTGTTTTGTTTAACACAAACACTTCATCAGCCTTTCTTGTGTGCCTCTCCAAACAGTAAAAATGAAGCCTTCAATCAAGCCTTATTTCCTCTATTCTCCTACATTAATCTTGCTGCACATTTCTATGCGGAATTCACCTTGTATTTTTGTCTTAGACTAAATGTCAATACTAATGAGCTATACCAGAACTTCTGTCAAGCTATCTAAATAACTGTTTAGAGGTGAGACAAGACAAAACATAAGGTATTTGTGCGTTCCTTTGGATAAAGGACAGTTGGAGGGTAATGTTTGCTTTCTATTTATAGCTTGTAACTGTTTGTGGGGCTGGTCACCTGGAAGCAGGTGAAGGTGAAGTACCATGGGGCACGAGAGTGAGGTTGGCAGTATACCAATGCTCCCTTTGCATCACTGGGGCAATGGGAGTCCATTCTCATGTTATGAAATACTCCCTGAGTTTTAGCTATCCGAGGTAGCAAAGACCCACACACTTTCTATAGGAGCATTTTTGACACATGATGTGTTTGTCATGGAGACTTTTATATCGATTTAGGATGTCAGTCAATTAAAGATGATATTTTTCTAGTCTTTTATATAAGCAGTAAGTTTCAATATCTTTCAAAAATGGAATTATCTCAACTCACAGCTTTTGGACAAAAAAAAAATCACTGACTATCTTCTGCTGGAAAACAGAATATTAAGTTTGAGATTTTTAAGTAATTTTTGGTTGTAAGACTAGTCTTAAGCTAAACAAGTGTTGTTAAAATGGTGAAATTTTCTTAAAAGAAGACTA